ACAAGGATGTAGTGACCTTCTTTGTCTCTCTTAAGCAGCCTTGGCTTGAGATCCACTTTGCCTGCCAATAGAATAGCTACCCCTGCTTTTTTCTGGGTTTCTGTCCTATGGAAAATAGATTTTCATCTCTGACTTTTAGTTTATGAATTTCTTTTTGAATTAAATGTGTTTCTTGCATGTAGCATATTGTTGGATCTTGCTTCTTCTTCTTTTTTTTGCGGGGGGGGGCGGTTCTTTTTGAGACAGGGTCTTGCTATGCAGTTTAGGCTGGCCTTGAGCTCGCTTTGTAGCCCAGGCTGGTCTCAAACTTGCAATGATCCTCCTGCCTCAGCTTCCTAAATGCTGGGATTACAGGCATGCACCACCATGCCTGGTGTTGCTTCTTGATCCATTCTGCTAGTCAGTTTACTTTCATTGGTGAATTGAGACAATTAACATTGATCATAATAACTGATATGTATTGACTTAGGTTTTTTTGCTTTTCATATAAATTATTTTTATTTAGAGAGAAAAAATAAAATTTCAAAACAAGATAATAGGAAAGTAACAATGGTTAGTACATTGAGAATTGTTACCTTTAAATTAGTTATTCTGAGTACAAGATATAGGCATTTTATTGACTTTTCTTTTTCATGTTATTTTGCTGTTGTTGGTTCCCTTTTTTCTCCTCTGTTCAATTCCCCACCTTCCCTGATTGTTCATTCTGTTGGGGTTCATGGAATTGTACTCTTTGTTATCTCTTTCTAGAATCTCTTTCAGAACCTTTGGAGTGTTGGTTTGGTGTTTACGAATTTCTCCAGGTGCTGTTTGTTGTGGAAGTATCTTATTTCTCCATCAATGTTGAAAGACAGTTTTTCAGGGTACATCAATCTGGGTTGGAGATTGTTTGCTTGAAATCCTTCACTCCAAGCTTTTCTTGACGTGAGGGTTCATGTTAAGTCTTCTATGATTCTGATGGGCTTTCCTTTATAGGCGATCTGTTTCTTTTCTCTAATAGCTTTTAACATTCTGTTTTTGTGTTGAATTTCTGGAGTCTTAACCATTACATGCCTTGGTGTAGTTTTTTTGTCATGGTTAATTGGGGTTCTACATGTCTCTCATATTTGTATGTCAAATTCTTTTTCCCTGCTTCAGAAGTTTTCTGCCATTACTTCTATGAAAAGTTTTTTAGGTTGACTGCACTATCTCCTGCTTTTTCATTGGCTCCAATCAATCTGTTACTCTTCTTTGCATCATCTAGAAGCTGCTGGATTGCTTTCTGAGGGTCGCTTGTTATTTTTAAGCAATCTTTCTTTCCATGATTGCTAACCACAATCCCATCTTCTATATCTGATATTCTCTCCTCACATTGGCTCATTCTGCTGTGTATCCTTCCAGAGGAATTTTTAATCGCTTGCCTATCTGTTTGAATCTGTTTCATGGATTCCATTTCTTTCCTATGTTGAATGTTCATGGTTTCCATCATCTTCCTACACTCCTCTATTTTCTTATCTGTATCTGCTCTGGAGTTCCTGGGCATGTCTTTCATTATGGTCACCATCTCTGTAGTTATCGGAGAAATTATTTCTGATTTGTCTTTTTTTTCTAGAGCCTCATTCATCAGCTTTGTTACTTCTCCTGTTACCACTTGGGAGAGTCAGGGTGGGTGGCTTTCAGATTGTCCCACCTCATTGCCTCCTGGGTTTGCAGTTGGTGAGCGGGAAGTCTGGGATTGCATCTTGCTTAAGTGTCTTCTCATTTTCTATTTTTATTTTAGTTTAATTTCTGGGTAGATCCTTGCAAATTGCTTATGGCAGGTAGCGTTATTGCTGGTAGAACCCTTAGGAAATGATTATTTCTCAGCGATGCCTTCCAGGAATAGCTCACTTTTGGGTTTTGAGTTTGTTGCAAGATCCTAGCTCTTCAATTTATTGGGGATGAGAAATTGTTGTCTGCTTGGCCTATGCCTTGGTTGTTTGGCACTGTCCTGTAGCATTTTTGTATGATGTTTAGACAGTCTCAGTCTTGGTATAGGAAGAACAGTTAATTAGAACAACTGTGTCACCTTGGCTAAAGTACTACAATCAGCAATAACAGCAGTTGATAGAGACTACTACGAAGCAACCCTGAGCAGGACTTAAACTAATCAATGGGCTTTTCATGTTCACTTGTGAATCTGTCCAAGGCCTACGCCCCTTGTCTGGAAATGGGCGCTAGACTCATAGCAAGTAAACTCTGTGAGTCATGAATCCCTGCTGAAGCCTGTAATGGTGCCTGAAGCCAGAAAGCCTCAAAGGACAAGACAAGATCACAGCCAAGGACACCTGGATCCGATCTCAACTGGATAGAGACTATGGCCTCAGGCATCTCACTCCAGGGTGGATTAACTTAATCTTATTAAGGATTAATTTCATACCTTACATGGAGAAGTTATTGAGTAATTCTGACCTTCTTGAGTACTCCTCTCCCTTCTTTTGATAACCAAATACATACAGGCCACCCAGAGAAGGCCTTGGTCTTAGCCCCAAGAGAATCTAGAACTCTGTGAGAAGGCTTTAATCTTCCTGGAACCCTGAAATCGTACCATTGCCTCTTTTTATTTAGCCTTCACTGTATATTCATTAGGGAGATTGCAGACCCGATCAACCCACAGTAACTAAATGATAACTAAGGGGTATTATTAACCCAACAAATAGCATCAAACACAGCCTAGAAAATGACAAACTGATGTAACTATGAATTTGCCACCTTTAATCCTACGAACTGGATTTGTGGTTATCTAGCAAAATCTAAAACAAACCAGAAAATTGTATACAGTAAATAAACCCTCCGTATGGCAATTTTACCCTCAGGGGAGAAAATTTAAAAGGGGTTAAGGTAGAAAAATGGAGAAATCAAAGGAGAGGAAGAGATTAGAAGTGTGGCTGGAGGACAAAGGAAGATCACGCAAACTTTGGAAAGCTGGCAAAGCAGACAGGAGGGAAAGAGAGAAGGAAGACATAAAAACAAGAACAATCAAGAAAAAAGAAAACAAAACAAAAACATAAAAATATGAAAAGATAAAAAAGAAGAGAAGGAAAAAAGCCCACTTCAGGCGTGTCTCCACTGTCACTGGTAGGCAACATGGGCAGAGTCCAGAGCTGTGTTGATTAATCTCAGCAAGCCAGTTGTAGACTTATCAAGGAGTAGTGGATAATTCCAGCAAGCCTGCACCTCTAGTTCCACTGAGGTTCATTCAGGCTGGTTTATGGCTGTGAGGCTGGAGCCAGATTTGCTCAGCCTGAAGCCGACGCGTGCCTCCTGCTGGCCCGAACCCAGCTCCGCGCCCTCCCGCCACACACCCGGAGCCGCTAGATGGAGGGAGCCTACAGCTGCGCTGACTTCTGAGCTCAGTTGTCCCCTCTCCAAGATGGTTCCTGGCCAGTCGCCCTCTCCCAGGGGATTCTGAACCCAAGTACCTCACCACCTCTGTGGTCCGCTCCCTTCACTGCCCCCTTCCACCGGTGCATTTCTCCATGGAGGCCTCTGGGGTCTCCAGAGTCACCCGTGTCTGCAGGTTCGAGCGGCCCCTCCCATGCAGTGAATCTGACCCCTCTGTCTAAAAGTGTATCTTGTTATACAGTACTTGGGAGGCTGAGGCAGTAAGATCACTGGAGTTTGAGGCCCAGCCTGGGCTACATAGCAAGGCCCTGTCTCAAGAAACAAATCAAAACAAAACAAAACAAACAAACGCCCTGGATGAAAGAAGAGTCCCGGCTCCAGAGGTGGCAACAGGCGTCAGTTCTCAGCTGTGGACGTTGGTACCAGAGCTGGCCACACACGACAATCTCTCCCAGACTACCAGGCACGGCCCCAGTCCCTGCACTGATTTCTGTTGACCGTGTATTTGCAGCAGATTTGGTGTGTGTTTATCAGGACGTGTGCGGGGTAGATAAAGTCCTGCTGCCCGTGCAGAGCTTGGCATCGCAGGAGAAAGACAAGTGAGGCAGCCGACAGCAGGTGAGAGTCAGATGAATGTCTCTCGAAGGACACTACTCAGGTGCCACATTGGGGAGGGAGCAGGGCTGCCGCGTGAGGGAGGGACTGGAGCAGGCTTAGAAGAACGAGCAGGAGCCAGGATGCAGAGAGCAAGGAAGATGGGGGCGCTGTAATCCCAGCTCTGGGAGGCTGAGGCAGGAGGATCACAAGTTCGAGCCCAGTCTGAGCAACTCAGTGATTTAGTGAGACCCTACCTCAAAGTAGAAAATAAGAAAGGGCTGGGGATTGGGCTCAGTGCCAAGGCCCTGGCTTCCTTTTCCACCACCCCCAAAAGGAAAAAACATGTGGAAACTGCAGTCCTGGACACGGGTGGGAAGGGGCCGCTGTGCTGCAGGAACTGGAAGGCAGCAGTGAGGCCGGGGCCGGGAGGGGACCTGGGAGTCGCAGGATGTCTAAGTGACAGGCTGTCCCACCCCCGGCAGGCTAAGGGCGCCTTCCCTAAGCGCAGGACACAGCAAGGGACAGCGCAGAGCAGAGCAGATTTCAGTTCCAACCCTAAGGGTGCCTGGACCTACTATGTGCTGCCCCCAAGCCCAGGGGAGCTGGGACTCGAGAGTCCTGAGTAGGTCCCTGTCACCCTGCCATCCATCACATGCCCCCACCTCCCCTCCAGTGTGAGCCCAGGGACCCCGTGTCCTCCATCCTGCGGGCAGCTGCTCACGGCCGGCCCCTCAGCAGCAGCTGCTGAGAGACAGGGGGAGCTTGGGGCAGGGGCTGCGGACGTGGGGATCCCCTGGGCTCTGGAGGGGCGGGTGGCCACAGGGTGGGGGACCTGGCTCCACACGGGCCTCCTTCCCGAAGGCTACCAGGGTCCCCAGGATGGCGGTGCACTAGGGAGGAGGGTGCCCGGGTGGATGCGGCTAGGTCGGGCAGGAGGGACGCAGTGTGATTGAAAGGTGGCACCTGTCAGCTCCAGGAAACCCGAGCTGCAGGCCCAGGAAGTGTTGTACCAACAGGGCCGTAAACAATACTCACGGCGGCCTGGGGCCTGGGGTTGGGGGGGCTGAGGACTGAAGCCACGAGGCCACTGGCTCAGAGGAGGGAGCTGCGGGCCGGAGGACAGCCGGCTCCCAAGCTGGGCGGAGGCCGCAGGTAGGAGAAGCCCTGGACCCTTCTTCACACCCCCTCCCCGCAGGCACCCCAGCTCCACCGCCCGGGCCCAAGCTTCCAGGAGGGCCCTGTGATCTGAGAAACCCGGGCTCCTGATCTTTCCTTCCTCCTCTGCTAGAGACAGAGCCCAGGGTCTTCTCACTGAGCTGCATCCCAGCCCCTTCTTTAGTTTTCATTTTGAGACAGGGTCTTGCTAAGTTGCTAAACCGCCCAGGCTGGGCTGGAACCTGTGACACCCTCCTGCCTCAGCCTCCTAGAGTGCTTTCTGATTTTCCTCTAAGGAGGTCAACTCTCCTCAGAAGCCTGAGTGGTCCTGTACCCTTGAAGTCACCTACAGAGTGACCTGCAGGTGGCCATTCGTGAGGAAGACCTCCCAGGGCTGCGGGGACATCAGGACCTTGCCTGTCCAGGGGCTGCTGGCTGGGTGGGGGGGCCACAGGACCCCTGAGAGATAGCCCAGCAGCAGTGGGACCCCAACACGGACCAACTGGAGGCTTCCTGGGCGGGGAGGGAGCGGAAGCAGAGAGAAAGCAGGGAAGGAGGGTGGAGAAAACTTCAAGAGGCTGAGGTGCACCCAGAGGCCCCGCCTCTGACACTGCCGGCCTGCCAGCGGGTCCCCCACTGCAGCTGGGGTCCTTGAGGGACCCCAGGCCAGGAGCTCATGGGGGCTGAGTCTGGGTACCAGCTCCCGGTTAGCATGGTTTAGTTAGAAGATCCCACCTCCCTGAGCTTCAGATCCCTGACCTGTAACCATCCGCTCTTTCATTTGTATGCTTTGGCTTTCTCGTACAAGGGAGCCCACGCCGTAGTTAAGCTTGTGTCTGTGTCGTTTCCTTTGGCATTGTGGTCTCAGGCTACACCCGTTTTCCTACGCACGGCCCAGGGTTACATCTTCATGACTGAGTAGTACTCCATCGATAACAGCCTGCCTTTTGAGAAGGGTCGGAGTGAGGAGTGACCGAGGTCAGGCGGGGCCTGTAGGCAGCGAGAAGCTGCTGCAGACGGGGGTGCTGCCATGGGCGAGCCTGGTCTCCCTGTTTTGAGCTTCTTCTCTCCGTGGCTGTTGATCGCACACCCGGGGGCCGGGTGGCCGAGGTTGCGAACATGCAGGGGGCTGTGTGTGCTCGTGTGTGTGTGCACACCTGCCCGGCCCTGCACGCCCTAGGCGGTGCACAGATGGGGAGAGGATGGCCAGCTCTGTCCTGGCTGCAGGGAGGAGGGGCCCCCCCAGACATGCACTCCCCGCATCGCTCCAGTGAGTGCCTGGGCGGCCGGGTCAGGACTCCCCGTCACAGGGCCGGGCACGGCCGTGCCAGCCGGTGTGTGCCGCATGACCCTCGCACGCTTCCTCAATCCACGGCGGCATGCCCATGGGCTGGGCCTCTTCCTGAGGGGCGGGGGGTGTGAGCCTGCTGCGCAGGGGTCCGTGAACAGCGGGCACGGGTCCCGATTCCCACCCGGTGCCCGTGCTGCCTGCCAAGCTGTGCGGGGGGCTGCGATGGGAGCTCTGCTCTGGGGACGGGGCCTGCGTGTGCCCCCACTCCCAGGTGGCCTGGGCACTGTCCCCGACAGTACTGCCAAGGCCAGGCAGTATTTTTAGCCGGTGACAGGAGCGTGCACCTTCCTAGCCCCTGTGTCATGCCCCGAACCTGTCCCGGAGTTGTTTTCTTTGTAACTGGACCCCAGGCAGGGCAGGGGATGAAGGAGCTGCCCTGATCCCACACCTGTTTGTGAGTCCTACAGTAGATACAGTACTTAAATAGGAGTACTTAGACACAGTATTTACACTGGAATACTTAACACAGTACTTAAAAGGACACCCCCGCAAGCCGGGCCCCACTCCCTCCCGAGCCCTGCAGAGTGAGGCAGGAGATGCGCGTTTGCCACCCAGGCGGGCTCTTCCATGCCCACCTCTTTGGGAAACACAGGCTGGCGCGGCCTGGTGGGGCGGCTGCCCCAGGGCTCCCAGATTCCCGACTTGTTGCCCTGCTCCTATCCGCGGGCACTAGCTGCCCGACTGCCCTCAGTGCCCGCCTCTGAATTACCGTGTGTTAAAATTCAATAATGCACCTTTAAAAAGACACTTTCTATCAGGCTGGAAATGGAAATTCAATATCACTTGCCAGAAATAGAAAGAAGCTGTAAAAATAAATGCAGGGAGACGAAGCAGCGCTGTTTGAGTCGATGCAGCTCCTCCTGTCTGCTCCGGCCCGGGGATGGAGTGTGACTGTCCCCCCACCCCCACCACGCCGTGTCCCAGGGCCTGCTGTAACTGCAACCACCTCGAGGGTGTTATCAAAAAGGGGCGAAACCACGGGGGGCTGTGCTGTGGCCCCACGTTCCCGAAAGCAGAAGGCGCAGCCTACCAGGGTTAGGTCAGCCGGCTCAGCAGCCTCTCTGCCGGCCCCCTTGTCAGCGGAGCCCCACTCCTGGTGCCATAGCAACAGAGGATGCCCGGTGTCCAAGCAGCGGGGCAGGAGACCAGGACTGGGTGCAGACACCCAAGCTTCCTGGGGACGGCTTCACCCCAGGTAGGGACAGGGCATGACTAGGTCCCCGGTCTTCTCTCTAGACATGGACCCCAAGGAAGAGAAACTGTCCAAGGAGGAGACCACTGTCTCCCCAGCCGCAAAGGAGCCTGGGACATCAGGGTCTGGAGCAGAGGAGACCAAAGGCCCAGTGGGGGAGACGCAAGCTGAGGATGGTGTCCCCGAGGACGGTGTCCCCGCGAATGTTGTCCCCAAGGACGGTGTCCCCGAGAATGTTGTCCCCAAGGATGGTGTCCCCGAGGATGGTGTCCCCAAGGATGGTGCCCCCGAGAATGGTGTCCCCGAGGATGGTGTCCCCGAGGACGGTGTCCCCGCGAATGTTGTCCCCAAGGACGGTGTCCCCGAGAATGTTGTCCCCAAGGATGGTGTCCCCGAGGATGGTGTCCCCAAGGATGGTGCCCCCGAGAATGGTGTCCCCGAGGACGGTGCCCCCGAGAATGTTGTCCCCAAGGATGGTGTCCCCGAGGATGGTGTTCCAGAGAATGATGTCCCTGAGGATGGTGTCCCCAAGGATGATGTCCCTGAGAATGGCGTCCCTGAGGACAATGTCCACAAGGATGCTGTCCACAAGGATGGTGTCCCTGAGGATGGTGTCCCCAAAGACAGTGTCCCCAAGGCTGGAGTCCCCGAGGGTGGTGCTCCCACAGGCCTGCAGGAGGAAGCTGCTGGGCTAGAGGGGGCGGGGCAGGGGGAGCCCGGGAAGGAGGCAGGGGGAAAGCAGGAAGTCGAGGTGGAACCGGGAAGGAAGAAAGGCAAGGAGGAAGAGGCTGCCGCAGCTTCCCTGGGGACGACAGCCAGGAAGGACGAGACCACAGCCCAACCCGGGGAGGCCGAGGACACGGAGGAGGCTGTGCTGGCCTCACAGAGGCCGAAGGGTGATGAGAAAGAGGCCCCCGCGGAATCTGAGGAGAAAGAGGGAGTGAACGGCAGAGACAAACCCCCACCCACAGAGGCTGGTGGGGACCAGGTCGCCGACCAAGAGGCCAAGGCGGGATCTCAGAAGGCAGCTGTGGACGGTGAACCCCATGAGGCTGACGGAAAGGAGGAGACCGAAAGAGGTGCAGAGGAATTGGTGAGTGAGGCAGAGCAGGGAAGAACACCACACCTCCAGCAACAGAGCTCTAAGGCCCTGTGTAATCCCAGCACTTGGGAGGCTGAGGCAGGAGGATCTCAGTAAGCTCCCACAGGAAGGCCCAGTCTCCCTCCACTGATCTCCGGAGCCTGGGGCAGGGAGGGGAGCAGGATGTCGCCCTCACAAAGCCTGGGCAGGTGCTCGTGGGAGGGGGAACCCACAGGGACCCTGCCCATTCCAGGAGCCCGGAGGCCGTGGGGAAGACCAAGAGCAAGATGAGGATGAAGAGCCCAAGGAGGGGGCCACAGGGGTCCCCAGCTCCCCTGAGGAGTGGCCCGAGAGCCCCAGCGAGGAGGGCCCTGGCCTCAGCCCAGGTGAGCAGGGGGTGAGGGGTGCCTGGGCTGCTGGGGGCAGACAGCAACCGGGAGCCCAGCGTCCGCCCTCTGCCCTGCAGATGGTGTGGGCCTGGAGACCGCAGCCTCGGGGGACGCCAGCCCTGGTGCCAGGTAAGGGGGTGCGGGCGCCCGCTCAGAGCCCATCCCAACCCTCACCACCGCCGCCCCCAGCCTGGCATGGTGGAGGGAGCCGGGTGCCAGGCGGGCAGCCCCTCCCACCCCGGACAGTCCAGGACGCTAGGAGGCAAGAGGCAGAACCTGGCTCAGTCAGCTGCTTTCCTGAGGGCCAGCGCCACCCGGAGACCCAGCCAGAAAGCCAGAGCTCCGCCGCGGCTCTGCTGGTTACCGGCTCTGTGACCTCAGCCCTGTCCCTAACCTCTTTTTTGTTTTGCTGAGACAGGGTCTCGCTGTGTAGTTCAAGCTGCCTTGAACTCAGTGATTCTCCTGCCTCAGCCTCCCAAGTGGTTGGCTGACTTCTATGGGTCCCTTTATTTATTTATTTATTTATTTATTTTAAATAAAAGGAGGAAAACATTAACAGACAGACAACCTTTTACAAAATAGCAAAAGAACAGTACAGACACTACAGAGTTACAAACAAAGTGGTAGGAAATTAACAACGCTTGTTATATTACATATTGATATCTTCAAAGTGGTTTCTCAGGAAAACAGATAGAGACATGCAATATTGATCAATCAAGGACTCACTGAGTTTCTTTCAGTGAAGAAATAGAAGACAGAAGAACAACTATGCTAACTATCCTGTATATACACACATACAAAATTTCTCCTTCTTTCCCTTCTCTTTCCCCACATCCCAGCTGCCCTTTACCCTTGAGCGTTTTCCTATCATTTCACAATGTCTATCATACCCCCGAGTTTATTATGGGTCCCTTTAGGTGGCAGGGACCCCTGCCCAAGTGCCAGCTTCCTCTGAGCCTCGTCGCAGGGGTCCCGGCCCCTCTCATACTGTCCCGGCCTCTCCACGTAGCGAGTCTTTGCCCAGCGACGTGCCCCAGAGTGCCACGGAGCCCCCTCCCGCAAAGGAGAAGAAGGAGCCGGCCCCGGCACGGAGGGTGTCGCCCGCGGCCCGGCCCCGGGGTCCCCGCGCTCAGAACCGCAAAGCCATCGTGGACAAGTTCGGCGGGTAGGGGCAGTGGGCTCTGGGCTGGGCTGGGAGGTGGATGTGGCCCGGCAGGGTGGCTGCAGCCTCCAGGGCCCGGCTGGACACGGCATCCCCCCAGGGCGGCCTCGGGCCCCACCGCACTGTTCCGGAACCCAAAGGCGGCCGGGGTGGCCGTCGGGGGCGTCAGGAGCATGCTGCTGGAGTGGAGCCGGGCCATGACGAGGAAGTACGAGGTGGGCACCCGGCGGGCACAGGGGGCGGGCAGCGGGCCGCGGGTGTCCGGGTGTGGGGCTCACTGGCTCTGCCCTGCCTGCAGCACGTGGACATCCAGAACTTCTCGTCCAGCTGGAGCAGCGGCATGGCCTTCTGCGCGCTCATCCACAAGTTCTTCCCCGACGCCTTCGACTACGCGGCGCTGGACCCCGCCCAGCGCCGGCACAACTTCACCCTGGCCTTCTCCACTGCTGAGTGAGCCCCGGCCCTGGGGGACCCTCGAGACCAGGGCTGGACCCCCAGGGTGGAGGGCGGGGAGCCGGGTTCATGCGGGGCCAGTCACGTGGCCAGCACTGAGGTTTCCACGCCAGCCACTGTTTCCAACAGCAGCAGCTCAAACACACAAAAGACCCTGCTCGCTAGGCGCCTTTTAAATGGACAGACAGCTGAGCATGGTGGTGCACACCTGTCATCCCAGCACTCAGGAGGCTGAGGCAGGAGGATCACCGTGAGCTCGAGGCCAGCCTGGGCTACATACCGAGTTCAAGGCGAGCATGAACTACATAGTAAGATCATGTCTCAAAAAAACAAAACAAAAATAATAAATAAATAGAAAGGCAGACCATGAACACACACACAGAAATGAAATACAAAGGGTGGTCAAAAATAAGGTGAATATTTACATTTTTCAAAAATGCATTACAGTAAAGCTTGCTAGTCAACCCCCTGCCCCTCACATGGGACACACTCGTCCCACTGCCCTGGCCTCTTTCTGCAGCAGCTCTGGAGTCCTCCTTCCTGAGGGTCTTTACGAGGTGTGATCAAAAGCACAGAGAGTGCTGCCGCCGAGGGCCGTCCACCGGAAGGCAGCGCGTGCATACACACACACACACACACACACACACACACACACACACACACACGACGCTGCGTCCGCGTCCTCCTTAGCTGCCGGATCTGGGGCACTGTGCGACATCGGCTGTTCTCTAAGGTCAAAACGACCGTGCAAGGGAAGCGTTTAGAATCGATGCAGGACGCTGAGGCAGCCAGGACAGGGCAACCAAACACACTCAGGAAGAGGGCTCCAGAGCTGCTGCAGACCGTGGCCGGGACGGTGGGGCGAGTGTGTTGGGGGCGAAGGGGAGCATTTTGAGGGTTCGTGCCAGTGCGTCTTTTGCTGCAGCAAGTATTTTAACCACACACCGTTTTCTTATCACACCTTGCATGTCGCCAGGATCACAGGCACCACAGATGATCCCGGCAGGCTGGGACGCAGCGAGGTGGCCTGCCGTCCTTTTAGGGTGGGGTTGCAGGCATCTGGGCCAGACTCCACCTGCACTGTCTGCCAGCTGCGTGACCCGGACGAGCTGAGCCTCTGGATTCTGATCACGTGGGGCGGGCACTTCTCTTTCCCAAGGATGCTGAAGTGTCAGTGGGGCAGTCGCCCGCAGCAGCGCCTGCGCCCTGTGAATGGGTCACTGGTTACTCCCAGCCACAGGGTCTCTGCTCGGCTTGGCTGTGAATGGAGTCACCGCTGATAGGGCGGGAGATCTGGCTTCCGCCTGGGGGCCGCAGCCCCGGAAGGCAGGAGGGGTGATCCAGGAGGCAGACGCGGCTGGCCGCTGGGACCTCATCCTTGGCACCCGGAGCCTGCCGGTTCTTCGAAACCCTCCAGGCCCCGCCCCCCCCCCCGCCCTGGGCCAGCACAGCTTGGATGCCAGCCCCGCCAGGCGGCCCAGGACAGCCTTTCCCTCGGGGCCTGCCCTCCTGTGCCCTTGCCCACGGCTGGCTTTGGCATCGGGCAGGTCCTGATCGTCCTGCACGCTGATCTTGAGCAAACCACCACGCTCCGAGTCTGAGCTTCTCCGCCACAGGTCGAGGGGGAAGAGTGGGTGTGTGGCCAGCCCCGCAGTCGGCTGAGGGTGCCCGGGCTAGGAGGGCCCAAGAGTGACGAGCGCAGGGCCAAGGCAGCTGTCTCGCCTCTGCCCCGGCAAAGGCCCCCGAGGGCTCAGAGAAGTTACTGGAAAAAGACTGTGGCTAAGTTCTCTGCAGCTCGGCCACCCACCCAGCACTGCTGCCCCAGGCCTTCCTCCCCCAGCCGTGTGAACACTGCGCCGGGTCTGAGCCCTGTTCCCAATTTTCTTACAGTACTGGGGATGGAACCCGGGCTCTTCCCCGAGCTACATCTGCGGCCCTTTCAGTTTTTTCATTCTGAAACAAGTTGCTAGGTCACCCAGGCTGGGCTCCAAGTTGCAGTCCTCCTGCCTCAGCCTCCCAGAGTGCTGGGATCACAGACGTGCACAACCACACCGAGCTAGGTTTGAATCCTGACTCTGCCAGCCAGGGCTCAGCTGTCCGGTCTGCACTATGGGGTGATGGCCGAGCCACCTCCCACCCCCCACACATGATGCCCCGGGACCTGGCTGGCCCCCGCCCATCCCCTACCCACTTCCCGGCTCCACGTCTCACCTCTGCCCCTGCTCCCCACCCAACCCCGGCCGCAGGAAACTGGCCGACTGTGCCCAGCTGCTGGACGTGGACGACATGGTGCGGCTGGCAGTGCCCGACTCCAAGTGCGTGTACACCTACATCCAGGAGCTGTACCGCAGCCTCGTGCAGAAAGGGCTGGTGAAAACCAAGAAGTGAAGGCTGAGTCAGGAAGGTGCCCTGGGCCTCGCTCCTGCTCCTCGGAGACAGCAGAGCCGGGGGTCAGGCAGGGACAGGCGGCCCCAGTCGTGACTGCATTAAAAGGACTTTTGTAAAACCCTGTCTCAGGCCTCGGCATGCTCCCTCCCCACCACAGGCGCGCTCCACGAATGGTGGCAAGCTGGCATGGCTGGGGTCCGAGTCCCCGAAGGCTCCTGGGCCCATGGTTTGCTCTCTGGTGCGGCCAAGTTGAGCGCTGGGGCCGTGGGAAAGTGTCTGGGTCGGGGAAGTCAAACTCCGGGACGGCACGGACAAATTGGTGACTCAGTGGGGTCACTGGAAAGATCCCTTGGGGCCTCACCAAGGGACGGGGTCACATGGTACGACCTCCAGGACTCTCCCACCCTTGCTCCTTCCTCTCTGGCTCTCGGCCGCCCCCTCTGCTTCCTGCTCGCCGTGAGGCAAGCGGCCCTGCTCCGCCAGACCCTCCCACCATGAGGCTGAGCCCTCTGGAGGGGCAGCCTGGGTGAACCTTTCCCTGTCCACACGGCCTCTCGGGTGTTAGGTCATGGTGGCGAAGAGCTGGCCAACGCCCGAGCTCACATTCCCAGCCGCCCGCGGCACCTTCCCCAGCTCTCTCCAGCTCTCCCACGTCTCCTCCTGGCCAGGGGGCTCGAGGCAGGGATGCAGTGGAAGCTCGTCCAGGAATCGCACTGTCATGGCTTGGCTGTAGATGGCTTCCCCAAGGCCCAACCGCTCATCGGCGGGGCTTTTCGGAGCCGGCTGGGTCGAGGGTGTGTGAGCTGGGACTCGGGGGGCGTGGTACTACACGAGCCCACTGGTTGGAATTCGCAGCTGTGGCTGTGGCTGGACGGATTTAGTGAAGACAGAAGCCCCAGTGTGGGTGGCACGACCTAGAAGGTTTGTAGCCTGGACGGAGTAAGAGGGGAAGGGAGGCTGCCTGCTGCTGCTGCTGCCTCCTGCCCGCCCTGCCATGGGCTGTTTCCCCCCTGCGATGCCTCTGTGCCACGCCACCCTGCCTTGCAGCCAGCTGACTGGACTAGAGCACCACAACTGTGAGCTAAGTACACCTCTCCTCCTTTAACTTTGGGTGTCAGGTACCCTGTCTCAGCACCGAGAAAAGTAACCGAGACGCGCACCCAGACAAGGCTGGGGCTGGGGGCTCCTGAGAGACCCCGCGCCCTACCTCGGAGACATTAGCATTTCTCAGCAGCTTCCGGCAGTAGCACCAACGGAGCTCTCCCTTCCTTCTTTCACTTGCAGTGAACCTTCCAGCCCTGGCGGGAGTTGAGGCCTCTTTTTGCTTTGTGTGCATCAGGGCCAGCCCTAAGCTGGTTGTAACATCCTGCTAACAGCTCAGTTCAGCCAGAAACGGTGACTGAGCCCAGGGACGTCATACGGAGCTGTATCTGTACCTCCAGACTTTTATTTTGAAACAGTGTCTTGCTAAGTTGCCCAGGCTGGGTTTGAACTTAGAATCTTCCTGCCTCAGTCTCCCAGAGTGCTAGGATTACAGGCATGCACCACCACGCCCAGCTACGATAGCCTATTCTTTCATTGCCATTCATTCTTACCATATCCACAGGAGCTGGGGCCAGTTAAATCCCAGCCCTCACAGAGGATTTAGCTGAACTGTAGAATTCTGTCTTTAACGGCCAGGCCAGTGCATGGGTTCTGCAGATCTCCAGACTGGCTGTGGGGAGCGCTGGCCTCTCAGAACCAGCAACCCGTCAGGGCAGCGAGTGGTCAGATTCTGGGATGGGGGTTAGATTCTTTATTTTGTGATTTATCAGTGAAAAGTAAAAGGTTTGGTACTGAAATCTGCGCACACCTGAGGGCTTCAGGAGACTTCAGGAGACTTCAGTCCCTGACGTGAAAACACGCCTCTGCCATGCCTCCGTTCCCACCCACACCCAACACCCCACTGGCCTGGTGCCTGTGTCTGAACTCTGTAGGCTCAGCAGAGACCCGGGCAGGGGAGGCCCTGCACGGCCGGGGGACCCCAGGCCGAGTCCACATGCCACACACACGGGCCGGGCCCTGTCCCCCACCTGCACCTGGCCTCCATACTGCTGGGAGGGAGGAGCCCCAGTGGACCTCCAGGGCCTGGCCACAGTCCACGAGGCTGTGGCCCAGCAGGCGCAGGATGGCACGATTAGGAGGGCCGGTCCTCGCCGAACTGCCGTGTGAACTCCTCAGCCTTCCTCCAGAACAGCTCCGGGCTCCAGTCCAGCAGGTCGGCCAGGTCCACCCTCAGGGGCTCTTCCAGGTTCGGTGTGTTCACCAGAAGGCTTAGGGCCTCCAAGACTGGGGAGAGGACGGACAGAACGTCAGGGTGAGGGCCCAGCTCCCTCCAGACCCTGCACGCTATTTTTGCTTTTCAAAAGCTACGTGCTAGCCCGGCATGGTGACTCACACCTGTAATCCCAGCACTTGGGAGGCTGAGGCAGGAGGATCACCACAAGTTTGAAGCCATCCTGGGACACATAGCAAATTCAAGGATAGCCTGAAGTACATAGCCAGACCCTGTCTCAAAAAACAACAATAAAAAAAAAAGGAATTCAGTTCCTCAGCTGCATTAGCCCCTCTAGAGCCTGTGACCCTGGACTGGGCAACTCTGCAGAAAGCTCTGTTGGACACTGCCTGCCATGCGCTGACCCTTGCTCCCTCTTTGTGCCTCAGTGTCCCCTCTGCTCCCTGGGACCAGTGAGAGTGCTACCTCGGGAGTGGGTGGGAAGTGCAAGCCAGAGCGACGGTGGCCATTACTGTGGGAAGTGCAGGCCGGAGCAATGGCGGCCATTACTATGGGAAGTGCAGGCTGGAGCGATGGTGGCTATTACTATGGGAAGTGCAGGCTGGAGTGATGGTGGCCATTACTGTGGGAAGTGCAGGCCGCAGCAATGGCGGCCATTACTATGGGAAGTGGAGGCTGGAGTGATGGTGGCCATTACTATGGGAAGTGTAGGCCGGCGAGATGGCGGCCATCACTGTGCCCCTGACCTTTCGGGCACAATCCCAGAAAGGCAGAGGTTTGCACAAGGCCAGGCTTCCTCCTCCCAGCGCTCTGTGATGGCTCCTGTCTACACGCCCCCTAGGCTGGGTGGGTCGGGAAGGTGGCTGGATCCTCGCACTCCTAGCTGACTTCCTGTTGGGGGTGGGGCCCCTGGGGGGGCCTGGAAGGGTTCATTTCCCTCCCTGGCTCCTCCCTTGTGTCTCCCTACTTCCTGTGTGCCACACCTCGAGCAGCTCTCCTCCTCCAGACCCCTCTGCATGCTGCCCTGCTTTGAAGCCAGTCCCCCATAGACTGACCCTCTACAAACTGTAAGCCAAACAAACCTCTCCTCCTTGAAGGTGTGGGTGTTGGGTACTGTGTCCCAGCAAAGGAAAACTGAGATACACTTCCTCTGCTGCTGACCCTCACTCTTTCCCACAAAGCATGGCTGAGCCCCTCTGGCCTGCAAATCCACATCCTCCTGCCTTAGCCTCCGGAGAGCTGGGATGAGGGGTACGCCCCACACCCTGCTGAGAATCTTCCTTCCTTTCTTTGAGGGATTCCCAGCTCCTGCTGCTTACCCCCCAGCCCAGCCCCGGGCAGGACCCGCCCTCACCTTGGCTGGCCTTGGTGTGAGGTTTCCAGTTCTCGCTGCTGAGGAGCGGCAGGCAGACCTGGCCCTGCTCGTCCACGTTGGGGTGGTAGATCCGGGTGATGAAGGTCACCCTGGGGGGCCGGAAGGGGTACTCCCTGGGGAAGTCGAGGCGCAGGCGGAAGGCCTTGAGGCTGTAGGGATGCTGCTCCTGTGGTACAGACCCACGGGGGGAAACTTAGACTACCTGACCCGCCTGGAACGCGCAGTGACTGCTCTGTCCCCCGGCCGTCACCGCTGAGCCTAGGGCAGGACAGTAGGACCCTCTCTGAGGCTGCAGACCGAGGCTGCTGTGCTCTGGTTCTGTCCCCTGCCTGCGGCCCGGCACCCCGGCCCTGAGCTTCCCGCCCACACTAGCCTTATCCTGAGGCCCGGGCTCCCCACCCAGCCTTCCTCAGGCTCTGTGTGCCCTCTGCACCTCCATCTTGCCCCCACTGGGGGGCTCTGACTTCGCAGCACCCTTCCGCCTGCCCCTCCCCCTCCCCCTGCGGGCTCATTGGCTCAGAGCTGGTCTCCATGGTGACTGCATCCTCTGGACTCCTTCAAGCATCTTTCCCCTGAGGCCCTGGCCCCAAGCCTGGTCCCTGGACTGCTGCGATCCAAGGGACCGGACAGCGGCACACTGCTGATCTGACTCAAGCTTTTGTCGGGTCAGTGGAGACAGGAGGAGGCAGCCAGGCCACCCCATGAGCAGGAGGACCCCAACCTAAAGGGTGACACTGCTCATTCCCCTGCTGGTCCAGAGACCTGTGGCCAATGCAAAGCCCAAACGTCTTCATTTTTTGTCCAAGGCACCAAAGGTATGAGGATGAATTTCTCAAGGAAAGTGCATTTAGTCCCTCATCACCAGGGGGACAAACTCGAGATCCTGTGTTCTTGGAACTACTACTTTCACAGGGAGATTTTAACATGATACGGCACACTCAACAGAAAAAATGAACGCAGTGGAGATCGCTGTCTTTGCAGTCACAGGTTGTGATAATTTCTCTGAATTAAGATCTTTAAAAGAAAACAAAATAGCCAGGCATGGTGATGCACGCCTATAACCCCTGCACCTGGGAGGCCGAGGCAGGAGGATCACTGTGAGCTCAAGGCCAGCCTGAACTAGGTAAGGAGACTCTATCTCATCGAGGGATAAAAGATCTGTGTGTGTGTGTGTGTGTGTGTGTGTGTGTGTGCGCACGCGCGCACGTGTGCTTTACATGATTTAAAAGAGCAGAGTCCACCAACCAGGGTAACCTAGAAGTTTATCACTACTCCTTAAAAAAAGATCCCAGAGATGTTTCTTTTCCTTTCCTTCTTTTTTTGTCTTTTTGAGACAGGATCTTGCTATGCAGTTCAGAATAGCCTGGAGCTCACTTTGTAGCCCAGGCTGGCCTCAAACTCGCAAAGATCCTCCTGCCTCAGCCTCCAAAGTACTGGGATTACAGGCTGCACCACCAGGCCTAGTTTCTTTTTCTTTTTTCTTCGTTTTTTTTTTTTTTTTCCCTTGGTGAGACAGAGTCCCACTATGTGGCTTTGTCTTGCCTCGGACTCCTGCGCTCAAGAGATTCTCCTGCATCAGACTCTCATGAAGCCAGGTCTCCAGGGGCAGGCCACCATCCCGGCTTCTCCTCCTGGATCTGGCCGTCTCTGGACTTCTGTCAGGGCTTGGCAGCTGCTGGTCTGCCTCCAGCACTAAGTCTATCTGCCTGGACTTTGGAAGCTGCAGTCTGCAGAGCCCCTCCCCGGTGACAGCTTCTGTGAAAGGTAGGACTGTCCCCTCACCGCCCACGCTGCTGGCCCAAGGGCCCCCACCCAAAGCCACAAGCCAGCCACACTCACAGGCAGGAGGAGCGCGTGCCACACCAGGACGTTGGCATTTTCTCTGCACAGGTCCCGCAGGTACGGGGGTGCCTCCTGCTCCAGGTCTTCCAGCTCCTGTGGGGCACAGCGTCTCACTATGGAGCCCAGGCTGGTCTCCATCTCTCCGAGATCCTCCTGCCTCAGCCTCCCAAGTGCTGACTACAGGCGTGGGCCGCCACACCCAGCTTCTCTCAGATATTGACGTGAGGCGTAAACACTTAGGAGCCTTTTCCCTGAAAGCAGGGTGCTTAGCGCTGCCCTCTTCCCAGAAAGTCCTGGGTTCCAAACCTCCACTCCTGCAAGCATCCGCTGTGCCTCACACGGCCAGCAGCAGGCAGCCAGCGCACCGCGTGCCCCTCCCAACTCTACACACCGGGGCTGGGGAACCAGGACAACCGCGTGCCTTCCCAGACCGGAGCCCCCTCCCGGGACACCACTGAGTTCTCCCAGCGGCCGTGTGCACGGCGTCCTCTGCTGAGCCCTGACTCGAGAGCAAGCGGAGGGAACACGAGGTGACTGCAGCGGGGTGGGGGAAGGCGGCACAAGACGCACACTGCGAGCTGGGCTGAGAGAGATAAACAGGAGTCCTCTGTGAGGGGACGCAGTGCCCCCGGAAGGTCACCGGTCACTACAGGAGAGGGTTGCGCGGTTAAGTACTTGAGGGACGCGAAGCTGAACGCTTTCTTCCCACAGGACTCCCAGGGCCTTGCACCCTGCGGCACGGGGCCTGTGACTCCACACCCGTCAGCTTGGTGGGTTTCGAACTGCCCAGCAGATGAGCAGAACACGCTCCTGGGCACGTCGGGGGTCGGGGAGCCACGGCCTTGGGGACCGCTGCCTGGTTCCGCGCCTCCTGGGACAGACTGGCACGCGAGCTGGGCAGCTCTGCTCAGCCAGGCCCTCCGCCATGGTGCTCCTGCCCCGGAGCCGGCGGCCACGGACTGCACCTCTGACACGGTGAGCCAGACGGCCCTTCCTCCTTCAGCTGTGGGAGTGGAACAGCGATTCCCACAGAACCCCACCTGGGGCTGGGAGATCGCTCAGCAGCACAGCGCCTGCCCGGCAAGCACCAGGTCCTGAGTTCTATTCCACGTACCCCCCAAAAGACCCCAGCTGCTCTGAGTCTAAGACCTTCGGGTCTGGAGGCAGGGAGGGGGTAACAGGCACTCAGGGCAGGCCCGAGTCTTCGCCGACAGCGGATGGGTGCAAGGCAGGGCACCTCACAGGGGCGGTGTCACACCTGGGTCGTGCACTAGAGTGGGGTGAGTGAGGGTTGACTGACGAACATCCCACAAGAGCTGCCTGCCCCAGCTGAGAGTGCATCGCACCCCTGTGACCCCAGCACTCGGAAGGCTGAGGCAGGAGGATCGCCTGGGCCACATAAGACAAACCCACCAGAAACCTATCTGGCCCCCGGTGCGAGATGTAGCTCAGTGGTGCGCGCTGGCCTAGCAGGAGCCAGGCCCTGGTTCCGACCCCAGCAGTGGAAAAAAAAATCTGGCCCCAAATTTCAATAGGGAGGAGGTTGAGAAACCTCCAAAGTTCCCCAAAGCCTAGACCACATTTGGAGAAGGGACTTCACCCCGGGGAGTCTGGGGTCCCCGCCCCCGAGCTGGAGGCACCCCGCACCCCAGGACGCTGCGGCCTGGCCGCCTGCACCATCGCCTGTGCCTGAGGCAGGAACCAAGTCCAGAGCGCCACGAGCCCTTCGCCAGGGACGCGCTTTCTGCCGGGACATCACCTGCCTCAGAGGAACAGAAACTGAAAGCGAGCGGTACGCCCCCTCTCGGGAGCTCTGATGCCCCCCCACGCCCCCGCCCTGGGCACACCACACGCCCCACCTTCCAGATGTTTCCAGTTGTGTCCCTTGTAGCGCTGAAAGCTCAATGGAACCGGGGCGTTTTCTTTTTTGGCTGGGGGTGGGGCGGGGAGACAAGGTCTCACCATGTCGTTAAGGCTGGCCTCAAACTCCAGCGATCCTCCTGCCTCAGCCTCCCCAGTTTTGGGATCACAGGCTTGGACACCCTGTCGGCTTGAGCCGGGGTTTTTGTTTATCTCTTCCCCTTCTCTTCCCGGCCCAAGGGGCGATTGTAACAGAGACCCAGACCGCAGCCAGTTTCCGCAGAAGTGAAACCGAAAGCGGCTTGGCCCGGGGCGGGGCTGGGCCGGGGTCTCCAGCCCCAGCTCCAGTCAGGCGCAGACCGGCCTCCTCGGGACGCCCGACCCCTCACCTTTGCCACTCGCTTGCTCGCAGACATCGCGGACCAGCGCCGGGTCGCGCAGCCCAGTCCTGCTCCGCCCCGCACGCCCGTCCCAACGCGAGTGGGCGGGGCGGTCATTCTCGGGCTTAGGTGGCTTTGGGACTGGTTGGAGGACAGGCAAAGCCCTGAGACAGCCCTGGAGCCTCCCTTTTGTTTATTTTTGAGTGTTTTGGGGTTTTTTTGCTTTTTTTGTTTTGTTTGAGACAGGGTCTCGCTATGTAGCCCAGGCTGACCTGGAGCTCTCAGCAATCCTCCTGCCTCAGCCTCTCAAGTGCTGGGATTACAGGCCTGCGCCACCACGCCCAGCTATATATATATATTTGTTTTGGTTTGGCTTTGGTGGGGGTGCGTTTCAAGACTGGCTCTGTGTAGTTCAGGCTGGCCTTCAACTCCTGGTGACCCTCCTGCTTGCAAGTGCTGGGATTATTTTGCCACCTCTGTTACAAACTGCGGACCCACTATGTGGCACTACCCACACCACGATGCCCAAAGCAGAGACCTATTCCCAGCCCGCACCCTGCACCCCAGCAGCACTTGGGGAGAACCCCTTGTGGGGATGAAGACACCTGGAGCCCCACCCCGCTGCGTTTAACAAGGAAGGCGACATCCTTTGAACCCTGTGTTCTGAGCCCAGCAGAGTCTGCGGAGAGCAGGACACTGGGATCTGTAGGCTGCAGTCCTCCCTTCCTGTTCTGAAGCCTGTGCCCGGCAGGGGGATTCACAGTCCCTTGGGACGGGACTGGACGGGACAGGTCAGAAGGAGCCACAGGGCCGGTGGCTCACGCCTGTGATCCTAGCACTCAGGAGGCTGAGGCAGGAGGATCACAGTGAGTTCAAGGCCAGCCTTGGCTACATAGTGAATTCAA